TATACTTCAATCTAGCAGTCCAAAGCTCCAATTATCTTATGTATCCATCTCTCCATATAGTGAATCCTTTTAAGTCTTCATCTCTTTCAGCACCTGCCTCTCTGCTTTTGCTCCTTGAACTTGTTATCTTGCTTGGGCTCTCCATCCTGGTAACTCCCAAGCTCCTCTGTGGCTCTAGCCTCACCTCTGTGTCCCCGCCACCACCACCAGGTGAATGGTCTCCGAGTGGATCTCCCAGCTGAGGTGTTACCTTCTGTGTCCGTGAGACGGAATCCTGATGGCTCCGTGCTAGTCCACCAGAAGGCAGGGGTCCAGGTACAGCTGGGCACCAATGGGCAGCTGACTGTGATGGTCAGCAGTGACCATGCTGGCATGCTGTGTGGGGCCTGCGGAAACTTTGACGGGGACCAGACCAATGATGGGCATAACTACGAGGGGAATACAACCGTGGAGCACTGGAGAGCGCAGGACTTCTCCCCATGGTGAGGATGTAGCCTGGAGGCCAGGCTGCCTGCAGCAGGGGCACCTGGGTCCTCATGGGAAGGGGCATTCGGGGTGGGTGCTCAGTCTACAAGAGGAAGTGCTAAGTGTCTGTTTCTTGCAGTCACAGCTGATCAGTCACCCATTGGGAATGAGGACTTCAGGACCTGAACCCTGGAGATCGCAATAATGGAAGGATGCACTGTGTTACTGTGTGCCCCTTCCTGCTCTTCCCTCTGCTCAGCCACTGAGGCTGACTGTGAAAGCATTGAATAAATATCATAAGCTAAGCTGCATGCTGATGTGTGTCTTAAGCCTTCTTATCCCTGACTTTCCTTTCTGCACTACAGGCATCAGATGCCTGGGGAATCTGGCACATGATGAATATTTATTGGGGGTGAGCAAATGGATGGATGGATGGATTGATGGATATATAAATAGGTGGACTGGGAGAGGGGTGGGTGGGAAAATGGGAAGATAGGGAAATGGATGATTAGAAGAATGGGTAGAGGGGCCAGCCGAGTGGCGTGTTGGTTA